CAGCAATGATTCCTGCCGTAACATGGCTTGATCATAATCCGCCAAATCCTGAAACAAATATAAATACAAGTTTCAATGTGTTTGAGATTTCATTACAGTGTTATTACATAACTTATAAGACGGTTTAAAATTCTTGATAATCAAACATACTTCAGCAAGAGCTTCATCTGGGTGCGTTAGACGCCATTCAAGACCAACTCGAGCAAATTCACGAGTTAAATCATGACACGAATCTTTTAACTGAAAAACTAATCACTTCATGATCAACGAAAGCTCAGTATCTGTTTAGTAAATAGGACGGAAAGCAGCAATACAAGTTGATGTAGCGTAAGTGAAAGAGATAAAGAACAGAAATCGCAAAAAAAAGATGATATAATGCATTAAGGACAGTTTAATCGAATGAAACCAACTTGACGAACTGCGCACTCCGCAACTTCTTTGATATGTTCTAGCGTTGGAGGTAAATAACCTGTTCGAGCTGATAAATCATTGATTAGTTGCGCCCAAGATCCATGCAAATTTGTCACAGCTTGTCCTAATGGTGTGTCGAGTACACCGTTAGCAAGCATACTGTTCAAACTATTTTGACTTTTTTCCTGAAAAGCATAGCACAAATATTATGTGAAAAACCATCAAAACAGAAAAGTTCATACCACCAACATTATCTTTTAAAACCTCGTGAAACATACCATATCCAGCTGAGAAGTTGATGCGCTATCATCATTACTCAAAACCAATTGCTTCAGATGTGGCATACGATCAACGTTTGCAATGTCCTGGGAATTGTTCATCAATTAGGATGATATCAGACCTGAAATTCTAGCCTGAGATCGAATTTCAAATCATAAAAAGACGCGAATACAATTTCAACATATAATATTTCTGGAGGTACTATCTATAATATTTAACAGTAACAATGCAGTAAAGAAAAAGAAAACTGAAACACAGGTGATATACTAAAAGAAGTATTTCCTTGCATATCGCTATAAATACTTCCAAGCAATAACAAAGTACTGATTATTAGTACTGATTACAATTACCTAAGAACAGTGGGATCAAGCGATCATTTAATGCTGAATATACACTGACAGTGATGCAGCATGTAAAAACAATTATTCTAAATACGTTCGAACAAAACTATATCGTCAACCCATTTTTCAGTAGCTCCCTGAAGAGCTCGGATTCATTTCTCGATCAAATTATGCTTCTTTTCCTCTTCCTCAGACACTTTCTTGTCGTTAGGGTGGAGTTTGTGAAACTTGTGAGACTGCAAATTGTGCTAACAGTGACATATGGCTTCAGTAGGGTCTCCCATGCTGGACAAGTTTCAACTGAAAGGTCAACAAATTGAGCAAAATAAGTTCATTAGCCTTCGGCAGCCATCTTAGAGGAAAGACAACTCTAACTTGAAACCTGCGTAACTGGAGCTCTTTTAGCTCCAAAGAGCATCTATCTAAGAGAAGGATACTCCAACTAATCTTACAACATCAGAACTACATTGTCACCGTGAAAGCTTCTATGGTTACTTCAGGAGTAAACAGTAAGGTCAGAGAGTGAGTTCTGCGAACTACTTAAAAACCATGGCTTGAAAGACAGATATTCCACATTTGCTAAAGGCCTCAACGACAGTAAGGCTAAGTATTAGATGAAAAGTTGCGTCAAACTTACACGCAGACAACGCTATTAATACACGACTTAGCAAATCAAGACGCAGCACAGCCAAACGTGCAAACGCTGATCACGTCAAACTCTTGCCAAACACATACACCCAGTATGCAAATTTTCTTCCCGAGAAGCAAAGATTTAGACGTAGCTCTATTTTTGAAATATTTATCCTTTTTTTTTTGCAATTTTCAATTGAAATATTTACATTTTTTTTTTAAAACTTCCCAACCACTGCCTTTTATTCTTTTCGTCATTTGCCAATTAGAAATTGTTTCTTTTTTTTTTTCTTTTTGAAGTTTAATTAATCCAAATTTTTACAATACTCACTCAACACATTGATATTTTTGTTTCTGTCGAAAAAAATTTTTTTTTTTTTTTGTATTTAATTATTTTATTGGAACATAAATTATGCAAAATAAAAATTTGCATTAAATTATAAATTTAGTTTTGAAAAAAATTTAAGAAATATTTCGAAGAAACATAGAGACAGATATAAATGTATGTTTTTTTTTTTCTGTTATTATCAAAAGTTTATAGTCATAAGTTTTTTTTTTCTCTTCTTTCTCTCTCTCTCAATTTTTAATAATAATCAACATTATTATATATTACTTTGAAATTAATAAATAAGTTAGCAATTAAGCAAGTATGCGATCGTCATTATGAAGCAATTAGAGATTGCCGTATTAATGGATGTAAATATATATAATTATTTATGAGTCTTGTGATATTCCTAAATTGATATGACAATTAGAATAGTTGTAATACGATATTTTTGTCTTCTTTCTAACTTTTTTTAATTAATAAAAATTGAAACACATTCCTATGCACTTAAAATTTGATGAATACTTCAAATGATAGAGCAGTTGTCTGATAATTCATCTATTATTGATACTAATCATTTATCACAATATATTTGATCATAGTTATCAATTTGTTGTAATAGACTGATAAATAATTGAAAATTTTTCATCTTTTATTACATCACAAATATTTAGTTGAATTTTGCTATGAATTTATTTAAAATACTTTTTAGTATATGACATGTCTTTTTTTTTTTTGCAAAGTCTAGCCTAAGTAGGCATAAAAAAAAAATTACTTTAAAGATATTTCAAACAAAAAAAAAAAGGCAAAAAAAGGGCAAAAAAAAAAAACGCAATTTACAAAATGATTTAATTTTATGTTATGCAATATCATTTCATTGCATAATGTGAAAATCATAAATTTAAAAAAAGTTAGTCAAAAATACGCATTAACATTCATTCATGAATTATGTACATAATTTTAATAATTCCTTCCTTCTTTTGATCTTTCTATGCTATATACTACATCGTTTTACTTTCTTTGTACTTCAATTACTTTTAACTTTCCAGCAAAAAAAAAAAAAAAAACTTAATCATTTTATGTTATTATATTACGTATTGAATTTTATATTAGTCCCGCATTTATTTCAGAATATAAAGTTGAAAATTAATTTTTAAAGATTCAACTCTGTTCCTTGTTTGAAAGTTATTAGATGATGTCAGTTGATTATAGAATGGTATGCTTTTTTGATGTGCTAACGAGCAAAAGTAGTTTAAAGTGGCAATTAAAATGGAAGGTAGATGAAAGGAAAGAAAATACTAAAAAAGGAAGTGGAGGAGATGAAGTAAAACATTACTTTATTACATCACTTATTGGGTTTTTAAAATAGATTTTTCAGCTTTTCGTTTCTTTGCATTTTAGGCTTAAAAGTAGAATTTGTAAAATTTTCTCTATCTTTTCAGAGAATAATTCTTATCAAAAATATTTGCAATGAAACATGAATATAGTTTAGATGACAATGAAATATGTATGTTTTAGTTCACAGAAAAGTTTTGATCACAATAATATATACAGCCAAGAGGTAGGTAATGTGACACATACATTGTTGAAGTGACATTCTACAGAAAAACTCTAAACAACGTCTAAGCATACGTCAAAATGTAAACAATGAAAAGATTAATTATGAATTTAAAATTTTCATGTTCAAATCATTTATTTCTGATTTATAATCCATTCAGTCAGTTCCAGAAAATTCTACTCCCCAAGATTTTGAATAAGCCAATTCTTTAGATGTAAAAATTTTTTAGTGCATATTGCCAGTTTAATAGATCCGTAACTGAGATATTTATGTTTATTCTTGCATTCTTATTATACAAACATTTGAATTGTTTTTTGGTTTCATAAACGGTGCTTATTCCGTAGGAAATATCCGGTTGCTTCGAGAAATGCAAGCATCTGTGATGCTATTTTCCTGTATCGTAATGCATTCGGTACATTTAAAAGCAAATACGGAACCGCTATCAGTTATTCTTGCTTTCAATTTATCTCAAGAGTTATTATCATCATATTAAGATCGAAAATATTTCGAAAATGACTGATTAAAGTAAAATCAAAACATAACTGTAGAAAGTATTACTTTTAAAGTACTTAAAGTAAAACTGTTACCAACAAATAAGTTAATTCTATTTGCATAATCATTTAAATGTAGAATTATTGCTTACAATTAAAAGATTCTTTATTATTCAACATCGTTCATTGGAAGTAACAATTTTGTTTTATGGTATACATTCTGTTTAATGTATTATTAACCGATATGAATCGATTTTTCTCTCTTTTAATTTTTCATTAAATTCAAATTTTCCATAGTCACGAGAATAATAATAATAATTACCATAATTATAATAATAGCAGTAAATAAATGAATAATAATAATAATATATGTCGTGACTATGAAAATTTTGAATTTAATGAAAAATTAAATAAACTGGCTGATATCCGAATATTTCTAAGCAAAAATAGAAATTTATCATCACTGTCACTATAATCTTCTTGTTAGCTTATTTACCTAACTTTAGTAATACTTTTAGAGATTTGTTTTCCTTCCTTCCTTCCTTCCTTTTTTTTTTTTAATGTTCTGGAAATTTGAAATTTGAATTTTATTTATTGATATATGTATTCTGAATTAATCATAGTTAATTGCACAATCTTTGAAAGTTTATTTTGTGCACAATGAAATGGAATATGATTTATTAACTATTTAACTAAGTTGAATATGCACAAGAAAGTTTAAATTACCTAAAGCAGAGATACCTGCTGCACCTGTGTATACCCTTCAGGATGACAAGGAAATACTAAGTGATAACACCTGCACACCCTATCACTCTGCGACATTAATTATGCATGACAATAACAGCCAAAGTTAAAGTTTTCTGATCACTCTGCTCACTTATTACTTCTACTGCCATCTTGCCAGCAATCACTTATCCTCGTGCACTTACTTATATTTAGATTACACGTGACAAAGATCACATGAAATGGTGTCATCAGATGTGACACCTGATAATTGGTACAGTAAGCCATTAAATATGGATGATATCATTGCTGGTGGAACGTTAATTCTATTAGCGATGATTTTCTTGCCAGTTTCTATCATTATCGCTTTTGTTTTACATCGTGAATCTCACGTAAGTCAAAATTGAAACGTAGAATTTACGAGTAATTGAAACATCAATGAGTGAAATATTCAGAAAGCTTAAAATAAAAACACGAATAGATGTAACTGTTAAAATAAGAATTGCAACAGAAACGGATACATTTTAAAATTGGAAAAATACTATTATCTTAAATTAAATTTCGCACTAATTTATATTTGATTAAAATATTGAAAGTAACTTATTATTAAACAAATAAATGGGAATAATTTGAGTACTAATTAATTTCTTATTTATCTTTTTTGTAAAGTCTTTATCTGATTTAATTAGCTAATTAGCTGTATTCATTTACAATTTCATATTTGAAACATTTACAAAAAATCATTAAAATTTTATAATCATTTAAATTTACAGGTAATTACGGGTTTCCTTTATTTGTTTAGTGCATCAATCAATAATATGTTTTTGCTATTCAATTATGCACTTTGTCCAGGTATGCTAATCATACTGAAACAACACACTCCAACGTATGGAAGACGACTTTATCAAGTACCATTTCAATTTTTTTTTTTTTATTTTTTATTCTGAAGTAATTACTCGAAATTTTATGTGTAATTTCATTAATAGTTTTTAAATATAAAACTTATGAAAACTTTTTCTTATAAACAAAATCAATATGAATTGCTATCAATAATTGATTGTTATCTTAAACATTTAAGTGGAAAATTTCAGATATATCTCGATACGACGTGGTTTTCCATGTGCTATCACACGTTGCTAGTGGCGTGGACACGTTACGTGGCTATTTGTCGTCCATGTCAATTCAGAAAGCAGCGAAATTCCACCATTTACATATCATGCCTTATGTGTTATGTGATTGCTTTTGTCCAGGTGACATTCTTTGGTTCGAATTAAATTTAATATTTAACTTACAAATTTAATATCTAAAAGCGAACTGATCGTAAATATAGCAAAATTAATATCACATAAACATTACATCATAGAATTAGACAAATATTTAATTGTTTAGCACTGCAATTTGTCGCCGAAACGTCCAGGTAGTGTCGATTTATCATAAACATTGCAAGTGGAGAAGAAAATAAAATCTTAAACAGTTGAAATTATTTTTATAATATCTGATGGGTTTCTTGTGCTATTTTATTTTAGACAACATTTTTTTTCCCATATTTGAATAAGTAAAATATTACAGTCAGAAAGAATTTCAATTTAAATCAAAAATTTTCCATAACACTTCCTTGTTACTAATTTAAACTAAAGGAAAAGTTTGAAAAAATATTCTTCGATTCTAAAGTTTCAATAATTTGCAATGCATTAATTTTATTATTATGCACCGATCCTTCCTTTACTTTCTAAGTTTCTAGCATAACATTCCCTCTCTTTTTATTTGTCAACTTTTCGCCTTCTCCAGGTAAACATCCAGGTAGTCTCGACTTACCATAAACATTCACTCGCAATTTGTTTCATCTTTACAAATAAATGAACAAACGAAGTGATTAATTGTAAATTTGTAGTTGCTATACTATCAACAAGCTTCAAAAAATATATATATAGTGGTAAAAGGGTTTTTTAGATTTTATTAAGAAAGAATAAAAAATTAAAAAAAAAAATTCAAATAATAAAAATTATTTAAATTCTTTTTTTTTTTTTTGCAGTCGTTGATAGCATACTTTCAACCTTGGTACGTTACATTTTATTATGAAGCAAGCGCATATGGTATGGTGGCGGAAGATATTCAATTGTATTTGGATGGTGGCAAATCGCAATTTTTCGTCATTTATCATTTACTAATATTCATTGGAACATTTTCTCTCTACAGGTTGCATAAGAAAATTTAAATAAAATAGCATAGCATACTGTGAAATAAGAATTTTAGTAAATAAATTAGTAATTGAGTTTTCATTTAAATTTTATTTGCTATTTAAGTATGAGAAAGAAGTATTTTAATAATAAATAAATTAGTAATTGAGTTTTCTTTCAAATCTTATTTGATGTATAAGTGTTAAAAATAAATATTTTAGTAAATAAATTAGTAAAAAAAAAAAAAAAAATTACATTGTAAAATTATTTTATCTTCATGAAATACCAATCCCATACAATCTAATTATAAGTTATTTCTTTGATAAATTAATTCAAATATAAATTGGAAATATAAAATTGTTTAAATAAATATTTTTTTTTTTAAAAAAAAAAAAATCGGACTAAATTTAATCCTATTGCTTATTATTTTCCCTATGAAATCAGCACTTTATCAAGTTTCAATCAAATACTTGAATCTAATTTTAAAAAAAAAATTAAAAGAAATAGATGAGAATTATGGGTATGGAAAGAATTTTTATTATGAATTAATTTTTTTTTTAGTTTAATTGTTAATTATTAATTTTATTTTCAGTTATGCAATATTTCTACTTTTCAAATGTAATCGTCAAACTCGAAATAGCTTTGTAACCGTAAATACATGTAATGCAGCACGGCCAAAGATAATGCAACATTGTAATATATTTGCAGGTATCAGTACTGGTATGCGAGCTGAAACTAAGTAAGTTTACATAGAATTAGAATTAATTAATTAATTAATTATATTAATTTCGATAAATTAGAAAAGAGAAAGTTTTAGGATAATTTGTGAATTTTATTCAATAAATATTATTACATGTTAGTTCGTAATAAAATTTAAAGAAAATAAAGAATGCTAAAGAGAATTTTGAATGTAATAATTGAAAAAAAAAATAAAAATAGTTGTGTTACAGCGCTGAATTACAAATATTAAATTTGCTTTACATTCATATATATATTCAAATAGAAAATATTAAATTCTATGTTCAATGATCAATTAAATATTAATCGATAATTTAAAATTAAATATAATTTTTTTTTTTTTTTTTTAGGTTAATTTTGCCATGCATCTGTAACGCCATAGTATTTCTCATTGGCCAAGTGGTGATAACAGTTGGAATTAGTGAAGGTCGCTGGACAATTTGGCTTATACTGGTACTTTTCACTCTGACAGCTTCTACTGATTCAGTTACACTGCTGATATTCAGTGGCACAGTCAGGTTTTTCCCTTTTTTTTCTCAGAATATTTCACTCATTCTTATTCTGCCGAAAGTTCATCCATCTGTTCATGACCCCGAAATATAAAGAAAATGATTGAGTTATATGATAAGTAATATGAGTACACCTGTAAGGTAATCAGATGACCTTCTGATATTGTATTTATCTTTTAATAAAGTAACAAAATAAAAGTCACAAATAATAAGTGTGGTAGTTATATAATTCAAAGTTAAAGAAAAAATGAAGTAAGTATACATTAATGATAGCTATGCATTTTTTTCTTTGTTTACTTCATTTAATCAAATTTATCACTTTTAGAAAAGGTACACTGATAACGCTGCGCGATTTATTTTGTTGTTGCAATAAAAAAACTAACGTTGTTGTGATAAAAGTAAGTAATAATACATTTTGCAGATTATTGCTATTATTATTATTATTATTATTATTATTATTATTATTTAAAATGTATTTTAGAAAAGTAGAAAAATTAATGGTACAAAATGTATAATAGTACAATAGTAATTGCAGTATTAGCTTTTTTGTCTCTTCAAAGAAATTGGATTTAAATCATTTATTTTATTATTGCCTAATAACAACTGATAATAGTAATAATAATGATAATAATAAATAAACAATAATAATAGTAATAACTTAATCTTAATTATAGGAAGCTTAAATTTGATATTTCCATCAAATTTGCTAATAATTTTAGAAAATGCAAAAAACGAAAGTATTATCGGAGACAGGAATGTAAGTGAAAAATTGTTCAAAAATTTCGACATTTATAATTATTGAAATGATTCAAATTTGTGAAGAAAAAATGATACGAGAATTGTGGATTTTTTTTTTTTTTTGTTTTGTTTTCCTAATCCTTTATTGCAAACCAAATGGTTTTTTTAAAAAAAAAACAATTTTTTTCGAATAGTTTGACAAAAAAAAAAAAAGGAAAACTTCAAGTATACATAGAAAATAGATTTGTTTTATTGCATTTAAAATTTCAATTACTTTAAATATTTTAATATTTATTTCTCGAAAGCTAATGTGCACGGATGTCTAACGTCGCACATCCATAATTTTATATTGTATGACATCCACTTCACTTCATTATCCATTCGTATGTAGTTAACTTAACTCTTCAAACAAAGCAACAGCAGTTGACCCCTAAAGGTCATTTATTGGCCGTATGTAGTTAACTTAACTCTTCAAACAAAGCAACAGCAGTTGACCCCTGAAGGTCATTTATTGGCCGTATGTAGTTAACTTAACTCTTCGAACAAAGTAACAGCAGTTGACCCCTGAAGGTCATTTATTGGCATTAACAGTGCAGCACATATGTTTTTGTCTTGACCTCTCGAACTATCATCTTGTTGTAACTCAATTCTTGTCTTTATCTCACTTCCCAATATGCATTTTCTTTGTTCCGAATAACCACCGATCTTTTTGTTTTTTTGCTAGAAAATTTGAATGATTTGCACTACAGTTAACATAATGGAACTCATTTCTGCCGCTTAAAAGATGTGCCATTTGAGATTGAACATAAAATGACAAAGGAAAGGATTAAAATAAATTACTGACCTGAATTAATTAGAAAACAATGCATTCATTCCTCATATGAATTCTAGTTATGTCGATAGCAAAAAAAAAAAAGAACAAATCTGAAAGATAATAATATCTAACAGTGAAAGAATCAACTCAACACTTTATATTTTGCATAAAGGATGGAATTAAAGAGTGGAAGAATTTCTAAAATCAGCCAAGAATATCAGCTAATTAAGCTAAAATTATCGGATTATTTCAAGAAATATTGATCGATCAAATGTAATGTATGAATAAGCAATACCAATCGTTTTTTTACTGTAGAAATAAAAAGTACTGATATAGATTTCAGTTAACTTTAAATATCTCAGTTATCGAAACATACCGTTTGTCATACGGCATAAGTGACAAAGAAATGATGGAGAAAACATTGACAATATGAAACCAAAATGAGATAAAAATAGGAGCATTATTGCGTGCTAAAATGATATTTTGAATAATTACGGATGAAATCGTATGCAAACAATAATACTGTTTGTTATCTAAGGATTTCTCAGACATATTAAACAAAGGATATAATGAAAAGATGATCCATAATAAAATTAGAAATTATCTGCAAGTATGAATGCTGAAGCAAAACAACATATATCAAAATACGACAATAGAAGCAATATCGAAAACACAACAAAAAATTGAATAGACCATGGGAAATTTGTAAAACATGAGACTGAAAAATAAATCATTCGCTTTGAAACAAAAGTTAATTGATTCTAACAAGAGAAACAAGTAGTATTACAAGAAAAAAAAAGTGTGAACGCATATCAAAAATTATTTCGAAAAATTTTAAATTTCAAAGATCAGGGGAAAAAAAATACAATAAATAGACAAAAGAATGATGTACAAGTAAAAAGAAAAAAAAATGATACATAGTTATTAAAAATAACAGCTTCATGAACAGACTACAATTTTAAATTAATTGACTTTCAATCAACTGGAAATTTGATAAGCAAATAGGAAAGTTCATTTCAACCGTTAAACAATATTTACTAATTACAATTTTTGAAAAGAATTTTCGAACAGTTTACCACTTTATGTAATTGAAATTTGCAATTAGATTAAAAAGTTTTTTGAATGAGTTAGTAAGCAATTTAAAAAAGTGTGGTAGCTATATTTAAATGCATAATTCTAAAAAATTCAAGCACTACACTGCTTGCAACAACGAACTATTTTTATGTTATACATAATAAGAAAATTTGTATATACATACACACACACACACACCTACACACATGGCGAATAAAGTTGACAACGTACGACAAGACACAAAAAAATTTATGAGAAAAAAACTCAAAACGACGAAAATTCATAGCTGTGGTGTAAATAAGTCCTTAAAAACAAATCTATTTTTATAACATCTTAAGAACATCACCAATAACAGACTGTATCAAATGAAAAAACCCTGCAAATTAGGCCAATGTTTAATAACAAAATCACTGCTTCGACATGGATGTAACGCGATATGGCGGCCAATTTTCTTCGGACAAATTCGTCTACGCAATATCCTGAAAAAAACAAAAGAATAAGTGTAAATCGATCAAAAAGTGTTTCCTCTGCAACAAATTATCAGCAATTCTACTTAATGTATGCTATAATTGATATTTCAAATTTTTTATTTCAATTTCATACATCATTCCATAATGGCGCAATATTCTGCTCAGGAATATTAAGCGGATGAAATGAGTAGAATGGAAAAAGAAAAACCGTATTCACTGATTGTTAAGTTGAGAAAAACCTTTAAATTCTTGCTGATCAAGATGAAGTAACTGAAATTATTGGAACCACCACTTACAACAGTAATAAGACCGATATTTCAGTCTATTAAAAAAAAAAAACCGCTTCAATGTTTGTAGTTTCGTCAGAGTTAAAAAAATCCGAATAAATAATGATGGACAAATGTGCAACATGCATAAAGCTAAACTCAAAAAATATCTCATAATGAGAAATTTCAAAAGGCTTCCAAATGTAACCCATTAAGTTTCATTTTAAAAAGAACAATATATCAAAGAAAAAAGGCATGCATGAGAAGTGCTTTGGAAATCAGTATGATTAATAAATATTTTGAAATATCTATCGCAATTTCCCTACCTCCCGCTCACTTATCGTATTCTACTACACTGGTGAAAGCCCACAATGCGATCGGAATGCTCTTGCTCTTGAACAGCGTTAAAATACGTTAAATTAGCAATTCTTAATTTTTTTTTTTTTGACAAATGCCCAAATTATGCTTCAAACTTTGTCTGAAAGACAACTTAACAGAGAGAACACCCATTAAATAATTTCATATCTATACCAATTCCTCACTATATCAATTACTTTCTACCAGACTTCGCATATTACACTTACTTTAATCGTGGTCCAGCGAGGAATAAAAGCTTCTCATCCAAACCACTCCATCGACTATCCGGGTGAAAGTTTTTCTTCCTGGAAGTACCCACGGTTGCCAACACGGAACCGGATGTTGTAGCAATTTTTTTATCGTGTGCTGTCGTATCGACGCCAATCAAAAGTGCTGGTTGCGGAGCTTGAGATTGTGGTGCCGAAGTGGTTGTTGCCGTTCGTGCAACTGTAGCTGCCACTGCCTGTAGCTGTTGTACTTGTTGTTGTTGCTGTATTGTTGCAGCAAAAAGAGCCGGATTAACAGCAGTAATAGTTGGTGGCACAAGAACAGAAGTGGAAAGTGATAATGGTGTTACTGCAGCTACAGGTTTATTTACTTCACGTGCAAAGTTATGCATTGCAGTTGTTGCACCCGTGACATGACCTAGGTGTGACTGCTGATTACGAATAGTGGTGCAAACAATTTTACTTGGACTTAATGATGGTTTTGTAACAATCGTGCTACTAATATGTGCACCAGAATGAACTGCAGCTATCTGTGGTGATTGCAACGATTGTGATGACAGCTGTGATGGCAGTGATGGTGGAGGTGGTGGTGGAGGTGGTGGTGGTGGTAGTGTTGATGGTAGTGTTGGTGGTGGTGGCGGTGGTGGTAATGGTGGTGCTGTTGCTGGCAATGATGGTGGCGGTGTTACGCCGGGTGTTGCAACTGATACCACTGCAGGATGATGGTAGTGAGTATGAGCGGTACCAATGGATCCACTAGTTACCAGATGAATGGCACTTTGTTGCTGCGTTTGCGCTACCGTTTGTTGCAAATGCTGCAATGAGAAAACAAAACGAAGACTAAAAAACAACCGAAATTTATCAAATCCGTGGTAGCATTTTTACGACTTATCTCCTTTTACAAAATATCCTCAAGGCTTTGGATCGGGAAAACTGACATGCTAATTACACTAATTAAATGCAAATTTCAATGACTAGGCAATTACAGACTAGAAAAAAAAACATATATCCCTTGTAGCACTGCATGCAGAGGCAAGAATATATCTAAAGTTACAAAAGAATCTCATCATAGAATCTTTTTTAAGTGCCTCCCTACCTAGTGGGCATTAATTTAATTAAATGAATTAATCCGTTTAATCTACTCATTTTTTAAGCGTTAATCGATGAGAGACTGAGACCCATGACTTCGAAAAATGCCTAAAATGGAATAAAAATCCATTGTTCGAAGGAAAATGCCAGAATTTTACTTTAATTTCTACTTCTAATTTTCATTCAGTTCTATCCAACAAAACCGTTAAAATCACGCACTCATTTACAGTTCATTTGAACGCTTAAATTTCCCTCTTTAAAATAAAGGAGTATAATCGATGCTTCATCCATAGAATAATTTAAATGGCTCTACTAAAACAACCCTCACTACACGATGTATCGCTTAGAATTGCTCCAGTTAGTCACTAACAGTAAATGCCTTAAAAATTTAAATCTATTGGCATAATTCCCTTTGCAATACAATAAACAATATTCCCTTTGAATTCTCGCACAAATGCTGCCAAACAGTGACTAAGAGGAATTAAAGAGTTACTCAGTTCCTCATTTTCAATCCAAAATTTGTCCTTACTGTCCCTGAAGAAGAAAGTAATCTACACTTCAAGCATGAAAAAAGACTTAAATTAAAAAATTTTGATTCAAGTCATTTTTTCTTAGATTACCGTAGTGCGTAGAACAAAGATTTTTAACATTATTAAAGAATAAATTTAGCCAAAAAATTCAAACTGTGCAATGGAGTGAAATTTAGAATAAAACGAATTAACTGAATAGTTAATTCTAATAAGTGAGTGTTTGGGTGCATTATGCTTGTGTACGTACATTTAGTTACCAACTCTGACAAAGAGAAAGAACCATGCTAAGAGGCAATCAAAAAATAGAAATATACAGAAAATTTGATTCAAACAACTTGAAAAAGCGACAAATTGAAAATGTTATCCAGAATGTCCAAATTTAATTTGACGAAGTTATGAAATCATAAAAAAAAAAAAAAAAAGTTCAGATAGTAAAACCTGTCGTTTAATCGGTGGTCCCCCTTTGTCGCTTCCATGTCGTTTTTGAATGTTTGATACTGCAGCCCCCATCTGAGTGAACTGTGCACTGGACGCAATGATTGATGAGGCTATTTGAGCAACAAGCGCATCAGGAAGTTTGTTAGCCTTAATTTGCTTCGCTGCACGGATTATTTCATACGGTTGTCGAGTTGTGCCTATAGAAGCAATATTATATTGATAAAACAATGAAAATTTCTTGATCGAATTTCTAAATAATAAATGTTTTATTTAAGAAACTACTGAATAACCAGCATCTTCACAACTACCAAAATATGGATCAAAGTTTTCGAAAAATTAGTTATAAGACTCGACAACCATATGCAAACGTCCAATTATGAAGACGAACTTTGCAATTTTATTATTTTTAAAGATTTCGCATTAAATAAATGACCGTATCATTATTTTTCAATGTTATGTGTAATTCAGTAATTTCGATGCAGTTCGATAAAAACATTTTTTTTTTTTTCGAAACGGTTGAAAAAAAAAATACACTAGTATTATCGGTAGATAGGAGGATTAATTTTATGCAACTTAAAGATCTTATTTCAAGATTTAACGAAAAAACTTACAGAACTGTTTGATAGCATGTCCATTTATAGGTAAGAAAGGACGTCGTGCAGAACGTCGAATGTTGAATAACGATTTTGGAGCCAATCTGCGAGCAATTCGCATTGATAATGTTGTATTAAGATAGAATGCAACTCGAGTTTTTACTGATGATGAATGACCTCCTCCAGACATTTTCTGTTGTGCTTGTGAATGACCCGATGGCAGACGTCCGAGCATTTGGTTGGTACCGGAACGACCATTAATTCCATTCCTTGTCTAAACTTGAGAAAATTTTATTTGCTTAAGATACAATCGATTTAAAACACTAAAAATTAACAGTTCTCTTGACTTTCGATAGCGTCGGAAATCTTATTGTTCTTACTAATTTTGAATTAATATGGACGAGAATAATGGAGTAGTATGATCCATTCAGTTCAGTAGAATTATGTATTTACCGAAGTGGTAGAACCTGCTGCTGCTGCTGCTGCTGCAGAATTTCGATTAATAAAACCAGCTGTAGTAACTGCAGATGTTACTTTTTGTGATTGCGGTTGGGGCTGTGATACTGATTCTTGTGTTGCTGCACCGTCAAGATCATAAGATTCTGAAAAAAAAAGAAAAAAAAGTGCAGCTCAGGAATTCCCAGCTATAACTAATAAGTAATAATTGATTGGAGTTTTCGGAAAAGATACTCTGTAAGAATATTGTTTTCATGATATGTTTCAAGCTGATTTTTTAAGCAATTTTCTTTCCATTTTGATCAAAATTAGTTAATCAAATTGCTTAATAACGAATACGTGTCTAAAGAAGTAACAGCATTTGAAAATTCTAAAATATAATTAAGAAATAATTTCTTGACAAGATGAAATAAGCTTAGAAGCTCAATTTCCAATATAACAAATGATTACGATCTAAATTAAGAAATGAACAAACTGGAACTTTATCTACTCACACCATATTTGCTCGCAAAAAAGCATTCTTACAACGAATTTTTGGAACAAACTCTCTACTTAAAAGAAATTAAACTTCAGAATCGAAAAGAACAAACCATATTCATGAACACGTTTTAGTCCACCATATTTTTTCCACTGACACCAACAAACACTACACAAACGAAGTTGCAAATGAGCTGGGCCCCATGCGTACCACTGGGTTGACTCGTCTGTTTGACAACTTTCACATGCTGATGTACCTTTCATCGGTTGTCCGCTAGGATTCGGTGGTCCAACCAAATTTGGATTTGGTTTATTGTAATTTGGTATGTATACTTGCTTTAATTTACTTTCTTGTTCGACTGCTTTATTCTTTTTAACTTCAACATAACGATTTGTTGTTTTCCACATGTAATAGTATTCAACAATGTCCCGCATCGATTTCCAAGGCAAATAATCGGCACGTATATCACTAAAATCTTTCCCATACTTTTCTACAGCTTCTTCGAAAAGATTGGCTTCCGCTGCTGACCATTCTTCCATTTGATCACGACATAATATCGGTCCACCTAAGCTGACTGTATTGTGTGACGTTGTTTTGTCCGCGTCTAACGGATAATGTTGTTTACTAGGCGGAGGTACGAGGTATTTCACTGCCTGAAACAAAAGAATAGTCTGAAAATTGTAGGAATCACCAAAAATAATATGAAATTCAATAATCTGATGCAAGTTACCATATCTCGCGTTACTAAACTATTTTAACTGGACTTTTAAAACTTTTTTTCACCAGAAATACGTATTTTATTTCTGAAATACTAAAATTTTATTCCATAATTTCATTTATTACTTAGTTCTTCAATTACAATAACTTGCAAACTTCTAATTCAGAAATTAGATTTTTTTCAGAAATTTAAGTCTACTGAAAGATTGTACAAAACTGACACACGGTTTTCCTTTTAACCGTAGTTGATTACATCTCATCATCCAGAGACGCGCTAAAATGAATGACCGAATAATATTAATAATTGTCATTCAGGGCACCAATTACTAATCAAACACAAGTCTTCAAATATTCCGCAACTACCATCACCCAGTTGCGCTATCTTCACTCTTTCTATCATACTTCCAATTAGAAATTAATGATAATTTTAAAATTCCACAAGATCTCAAAAAATTTTATTGGAGAAAAAGTGCGATATAAATATATACCTGTCCCATATCATAACTTGCTTGATGTAAAAGAGCCATAGCATGGAAAAGGGTAACATCGCGACTTGCAGCTGCTGCAGTCATGTGCAACGAAGGTAATTTCATCGAAGATGAAGTGTCCAACGCCCGTGAAAACGTTCCAACCGCTCTGAATATAATAGAAATGATGACGGCATGAGAAAAAGATTAAAAAAGATATATATTCAATTATAAAAGAATTTAAGCAAATTTCTATTACATTAATAAATAATACCTTGCAACAATTAAGAATTGATCTATATCACGATCTGTTAAATTGTGATGCGGATGATAGACGAGAAATTCGCGCTTCGAAGTTGTCACGACTGTTCCTTCATCATCATCTTCATCTTCAGCAATCACCAAATTCCTAAGTTATTTTACTATGAATAAAAATTTCAATCTCTAGGATTTTTAGAGAATACACCCCAAAATATGCTTTTTTCTTCAATCAAAATAATATTTTATATCCTAGAATTATCTACAACTCGAAATATATGGTTATCACATCACAATGATGGATTCAGGAATATTCTTCCATTGTCTAATATTTACATGCTAATCAAATTCTAAAGATCAGCACAACAGAACTACTATGTATAGGAGCCAAAGAGATGAAGAACAAAATGGACTATTGGAAGGATCAGAAAAACTATATTCAACGATCAGGACTTATAACGCATTCAACTTACCCATTCTCTTTATTTTCATCTATAGCATCTGGCGCCATATCATCAGGCACTTCACATTGATATTTTTCACCAACTCTTATTTCACCTTTATCGGCTAGTAATGTCATTGCAGTTGGATCGAATACCAAAGAGTAAAAAAAAGCATCCTAGAAAATGATTCATAAGTAATCTGTTTTGCATACTGAAAAAAGAGTAATATCTCTTTTTTCAGATCATCTTAGTATAATCCATAACTTCTATTCCTTCAAAAATTTCAAAACATACGTCGCGATCTAAGTACATATCTGGAGTTTCAACTTCACTCAGTAAAGTTACGTTACATTTGCCGCGAATATGTGTTGCTGGAAGTGCTTCAATTTGTCGAGTAAGATAAAGTTCATGTTGTCTAAAAATGAAATGATTTTTGTCGTTAACAATGAAGTTTTATCAGTACATCCCAACTTTCCATAAAGAAAAAATTTTAGTGGACTAATATTTCAATGTACAGAATACGCAAAACTTTTGTCAAATTTCAACAAGTGTTAAATTTGTAATTCGCCTTCACACCACATATGGCCTACCTCAGTACATGTCTTTCTTTCGGTGTCAAATTTTCAGCTCCTTTTGGAAGACCTGCAAAACCATAACCACCTTCCTTTGATTCTTCACCATCTCTATCCTTCTCATCGTCTTCTTTGGCATCTGAGACTATAGAATCAATAACATCCTCATTTTCCGAGAACAAAAAACAATACGATTTATTCACAACACAATTCAAAATTTTCGGCTCCTTTTCGAAGATCCGCAAAATCATACTCCAGAAACTTGTTAGGAATCAGAAATTCATCAAATAATCAACTGAAATACACTTTTTCAACAAAAACGGATTATTACCTTTACTCTCTGATTCTACTTCTTCGTCATCACCGGTATCTACACACATAGGTGTTGGTGAATCACCCTCCTCATGAGTAGCAATGGTTGGAGTAGCGTCATCTTTAGTTTCCTGATTGCTTTGCTGACCATTTTCAGGTGAACTTTCATGATCTATACGAATTAATTATGCACTCTTAGCACAGTATATCGTAAAGATAACATTGTAGTCATATTGTCAAATAGTCAAATAGCCGAGCAAAACAGAATACTAAAACCAAAAGCTTTGATGTTGAAACATTTACGACCACAATTAGAGGACTTATTCGACAATTCAAGGCAATATCTCTTATCTTCCAAGACGTGTCCAAATGGCAGTAAATACCCAAAATTAGCCAAGTCATTCCCAGCTATACACCGTTGATCAGACTCTTCAGGTATTAGATCTGCCAAAGATGCATGATTTTAGTGATATGCTCCATAAATCCTCAATATTACTCAGTCACATTCAATCCCAAAATGTGATGAAAAGGATTTACATAAACTGTCTTGTTTCTTCAGCAACTTGGAATCAGTAAAAAGTTTGAAAGGTTCCTGACACAACAATAATAATGATTGAGATTTCTCACCTTTTTTCATCCCGTCAGATGATTCATCGCTTGCATCTCCTGTAGGAGCAGATGACGTAACAACAAGACGTCGCCTTGTATTTACCACTTTATCTAAAAAATGAACTTTGAAAAAAAATACGTTGTAAGCAGCTTTTTGTATTCTCTTTTTGAACCTAAAGCAACTTCTTCACTGCATCTTTCCAAACATCATCATAGCAATTTTCCAGACATCATATGTTATATCTTTTCACGTTAGCATTTAACACCACTCTAATTACCTACCAACTCTTTCTGCACGATCGGCTACTTTAAGCAGTGATGTAGGTAAGTCGCGTCGTCGACAAAAGCATGATACTTTCGCTTCCACATTTCCTGATGGTGTCTGAAGCTATGCTCAAATTTTATTGCAATAAATTTTGTCAGTAAGTCAGCTTTAATTAGGAGAAAAAAGTCCAAGCCAATTTCCAATTTCTGATCTTTACTTTAGTACCATTTTTAAGAAGAACTTTCAGGACAAAGTGAAGCAATCAATGAGCACATATGTAACTAAGTATATATGATGTGAACACGTGCATTACTCACCTTATTCAATTCTTCAATTTTCCGCACTTGATATGGAGCTGCACTTGAAATCTCGAAGTATACAAAGTCTAAAGGGAATACTTTATATATTGAAAGGAAAAAAATGAAGGCCTGGATTAAGCATTCAATATTATGTAATTATGATTACTTGGTTATTTAATTATGCCACATTAGCAAATCTCATATAAATAGCATTAGGTAATGAAGAAAAGATGAAGAAAAAAAAAAGAACAGTTATTTTTTTCAGTTAATTTCGTGAATTTTATTCCAAAATTTAAAAATTTTACCACCAACTCGATACATATTTTGCGCCATCGTAATTATGCATTAACAATGTCGAATATGCAGATAGAAGTATGCATAAATACAAAAAAATCTGAAATAAAATGACCAGATTCACAAACACATTAAATGATACACGATTTGAAATGTGCAAAATATGATGATTACAGAAACAACCTCTTAAAATGACAGATAAATACAGCACGACTAAATCAAATTGGTGAATAAAACTGACAACAAAAATAATAAATCAGAAAGAATTAAAAATTATACACAATGAAAAACTACGATTAACAGAACTTGTTTTATTTAACCCGGTAACACTGCACAAACACTTATGTTTTCCAAATTCAAATATTACTAATAATTTGTCGAATAAATGAAGCCAAAAGATCAAACGCTAAACTTATTGTTACATGACAAGAAAAGCCAATAAGTAAATGCTTTCTTCGAGAAATGTGAAATGAAAGGTAATTCTCTTGCATTGAATTTCTAAATTCATTTAAAGGATTCAAAGGGTATAAAAGAAATCAAATAAGTTTACTGAAATGAAAATATATAATAAAAAATCCAACTTTGAGAAGTTTTTCATAAGATCCACGATGTGATACATCCGATGCTAATATGAAGTAACAAAATGCAAGAAAAAAAAAATAAATTAGGAAATACTAAGACATTACAAAGATAGTCCCTTTTTTCATTATCTAAGGAAATTAAAATAGAACAATAATAACAGCAAAAAGCTTAAAAAGCTAAACGTCACGTATCATCTTGACTTCAAGCGTGATATACACTTCAAGCGTGATATACACAAGTAATCAAAGACGTCAAAATACGCTAATCTGCGAATCAATAAAATATTAAGCTTCGAACCTAAGTCCTTCACGGCCAAACCCATACCTAGGCCACGCCACCAGCAGCGGACACGACGGATCAACGTGGACAGACTCTCTCCGCCCTCTGCCGTAATGGAAAAGCATAAACAGCTGTGTGCTACGGCTACCGCAAGGGCTTCATATGAGTGTGTGCGTGTCTGTCTGTCTGTCTGTCCGTCCGTACATCTCTGTGCGCAGCGTACTCGTCCATCATGGAAATCGATATCTGAAGTGGACCTTACGAACCGACAAGCGACCAAGTCACACTACTTATTTAGACCATCACCACCATCATCACTTATCATTATTATCATCACTACCGTCACTTGTCATCATCATCATCATCATCATCTACCCTACACTTACACCTCAGTTGCACACCTCAAATGGTTGACATTTGAATTTTATGCCATAACTCTGTCCCCATATTCACATATGTTTATTTATCGGAGGACGGATGCCAATTAAAATGCGAACACAATCAAAAGGACACATAGATTTGAAGAAGTATGCAAAGTTAGATGAGGTCAAGTTAGTGTGTAGAGAAGGGATGGATATCCTTACCCATAATGTACAACTATGAGCAAGAAGGGATAGTAATTTGGCGCTAATCATTCCTTTGTTTGTGTATATATTGTATAGCTATACTGTATGCATAAGATTAAAACTATCTTTAGGAACTGATTAAGACATGGACACAATATGATGACAATTTTTAATTTCATAAATTCGGGGATGAAAATTTTATATGTCTTGATTTCCTTTAGCAATGATAATTATCGCTAATAAATAAATGATTGGATATCATTTTTCAGTATGGTGTAGAAAAACCATAAGATTAGCGCCACAACTTTGCTTCACACTTTAATATAACAATTGTTTAGCTTAACCAAGGGTATTTGCAATCAGGACGGTGTCCCTTTTTTAAACATATTTACATAAAAACTTCAACAAATCTAGCTGATTATATTAATAGTTTCATAAATTTCAAATACTGAATAAATTCACAAATCCAAAAATTTATAGTATGTTTAAAAAGGTTGAAATCTTCATACAATAAACTCGTGTAGAATTTGCTGTAACAGTAATGTTTGGCAAAATGAAACATAAGTTAGAAAGATCCTTTCCTTTTATTCATTCCCTCCGCCCCTCCCCCAGAAAAAAAAAAAAAAACCACTCAAAAATATAAGCTGCGTGCATTGCTTCCGTTTATCGATAAAAGAAAGAATAAAAAGGAAACACATCTCTCATCTATTCCTTGATATGATGGCAATATAATTTTTGCATTCAAGTCAATGTAAATCTTATTTATCCTTTAGCAAAATATCATCCATCACTATTAAAATACATTAAACCCAAGATATCAATCATAGTTGCTGATAGGGTTAACAATTCAACATAGCAAGGTATATTTCACATACACCAGATGGTAGGAATACTAATAAATTAGACCAAAACAGTGTTACTGATAACTTTTTGCTTCCCTGTGTCAATGTCTCAATACAAAAATAAATCGATACCCTATTAAAATGACTAGAACTCTATGATTCAAGGCATCCAGCATTAAGGAACATCTGTCGCATATTAACGAAATCCGGTATTTTCGTCGTTCCTAAATCCTCGAACACATCAGCCAAATAAGCTGCAAAAGCGAAACTTTGACTTGACAGTGAACTTTCTATTACTGTAGCAACATATTCCGTGTCTTCCCATAAAATAATTCCCTCAATATCATAGCTTAACTGTGTCAGTTCAACTGCCATTCACGACAGATAAATAAAATTCTAAATAAAAGTAAAAAAAGAGGCCACTAACTATAATCAACTGAAAGTTGTCGGCACAAACAACTCGAATATTCCGCAATATCACCAACTGTATCAACAAAACATTCTTGAACAGCAACTGCACATTTACCAACCCACCATGATGGAATATCGTCTGGAAAAAAGATCAAATAACAGACTTTTTATATGAAAGTCAGCAATCAGGACTTTCCTATCAGAGACAATCTAAATATCCACTTCTACACTGATAACAAATGGGTGATGTAACAGATTATATTGGACAATATTTAAGAAAGGTCACGAATGTCAGCAAAATGCTAAGAAATGTAGTTGCTTTCAGAAGAAACAACAGCAGTGGAAATATTCCATCAGATCAACAATAGCATGGCTCGTAATTACAATATATAATTATGGTTACCAGCAAGTGATAGAAAGAAATGTTCTACCAAACTATTTAACTTATATCCAACTTAATTTTTTAATGAATTTTGGTGAATATTGTTCACACTTCTTTCAACTAACCTATGTATAGCTTCATCTCATTCATTTTAATTTCCTCAAGTGGCTTACCAACAGTTTCTAATTTTGTAGCAAACATAATAGCTGATGCCATATTGCTGTCCTGTGAATAGGCAGACAATTGATGAGCCAAGGAAAGGAGTGCCACACCAGCTGCCGTCACAAATTCGTTAGGTGAGGTCCCAAACGATGGTACTTTTGTGCTTTCCTGTACTTTGATATTCTCAGAATTTTTATCCGATATCTATAAACAGGATGATCATGAAAAAAATGGAAATAACTGAAATGGCGAAGTTTCATGAAAATTTAATCTTCCGCAACTAAGTTTCAGATAAAATCCAATTAATTCACGAACGAAACTTATTTTGCTATTTTCACCATGTAAAGTAATATGCAATCTGTACAGCCGGAAGTAATTCGAAAGTATAAAGTAATGAAAAGTTAACCTACAAGATTTCCTAATCCACTTTCCATATCCGCAATGAGGGTACGTGAAAGCACTTCAACAGTACGCGCAATAAATCGTTTGTTCATTTTCCGAACTTCTGCACGTGCCTTTGCTAAGTTAATATCATATTCTCCTTTGGCTACAAATCAAACTCGACTTCAATTTTACAAGATTATAAATGTCACAAAGTTTCTCTAAAATTTGATTATAGACTAAACTAATTATGATAAATTTGTTTTACTCTAATCATCACTGATTCTGTTATTATTTTAGTGTTTATGAATGTGAATGAATGAGACTTATCCATAACTTCTGTAAAAAAAAGTAACTACTATTTCTTATGAAAATTAGACTTCACTACGATTAGATTTTACCATATTACAATTATAAAAGAGATATTAACAAACCCGACAATTTGCTTTGAAAATTTGAAATCTCGCTGGATAATTTCACTGACAATCTGCCAATAGTAGGATCTGTATCAACGACTCCTAAATGTTCGAACATATCTTTCAGTTGTTGCTTATCGTTATCGATCCATGTCAAAAGCTGTCCTGCAAAAGTTATTCCAGAGTTTTCCACTAATGTGAAACTGGAAAAATTTCCTTTTCACAAAATTTTTATGCTTTCCGAAACAAATAAAATTAATTGAAAATAAAAAAAAGAGCATTAAAAATCATGACAAAGCTACAAATCTGTCCATCAAATTAAAAAGTAAAACAGTAATTACAAACCTGATATGCTCACCATGCGCAAAACATCCTCGTCCTTAACAGTACTCTTATTCATATGCATTTTATAGAATTTATCCAATATCGACACCACATTTTCATACATTGTCTATAATTATTTACCTTTATTTATTTAAACATGTTATAAAAATCAGTATGCATTATTCATATATATAAAACGTCATTTATATCTACACAATGCATCACATCCATATTTGTAAGAATTAAACAACTGCATAGTTTGGATTACTTTATACACACTAACCCGAAATGCAGGAGTCAAAAAAATAATTGCAATATTCCCAAATGTTTCTTTGGCTATTTGTATTAAATAATTACTTTCCAGGATAAGTTTTGATAATCTGCTAGAAAGTTGCTCCAAGCATGCAAATGTAAGTGTGGAATCCTGGAAATAATAAGTTTTTTGAATTTTTAATTACTTCTATCAGTCTTTGCAACATATGAACACATTTCCAAATGAAGTCAATGAAGAGAAAAGTGTTTAATGAAATATAATGAAATCTTTTTTTTCTGAAGAACGGAAAGTACCGATCATTTCCTTAATATTACAGTTAAGTAGTTGGTCAATAACAAACTAGTGAAATATTCGAACAGTTGGCCAGAAATGATGTTGCCAGCTTCGTGTATTCACTGGTTGTAGAGAATAGAAGAAGTT